GAAAAATTAATAAATACACAATATATATATATATAATAAACAGTAGTAGGCTGCTGTAAACCAGCTGCTTCTCTGTGGTCGGTGGTTCGAAAGTTATCATTTTCCTAAACATAGTTACCTCCACTGGCACAAATAGCTATTTCTCAATCTTCATCTTTGCCATCTAACATTGTGCTTGCTTGTTCCAGTCTTTATATACCCCCACATGACTGCCCTCAGCAATATCTAATTTGCAAAACATTATCCCGGCCCTCACATGCCATCTATGCATGTACTGTATATAAGCACTGTATGCAGACAATAAAATCACTTTTTGAAGACTTACCACATTCCGGTCACTAACACCAGCTTTTAGTGGGGAGGAAAGGAGGGAGAGTGTTAGTGGAGGTAAGTATGTTTGGAAATACGTTTTCAGTTCAGGAAAATGATAACTTCCAATACATACATACCTCCGCTGACACTAATAGCTAAAATCCCACATGAAGAAAAAGTAGGGGCCAGTGAGGACAGAGATCATACAGAAAGCATCTGCAGGAAACAAATATGTACTATGAGAAGTGATATCTCAGTGGGGAACACCGCACTACATCCGGAACAGGTATGCTCTTCACCCTGAACTACAGAAAATTGAAAAGGGTGGAATATAATACAAACAGCTGAGGTTCCACAACTCGGGTTAAATTAAAGGGGTCATGGTACCCATATCCCACATTGGTGGCCAGGGCAGTTGGACCACAGATATATACATCTTTGTGATAGGATCCCTACCAGTAACTACAGAATAATGCATTTTGAACCCCTGGATTTATGAAAGAAAGAAAGCAACACCAAAATGAACAATCCTTCTGATCAACCTGAAGAAGTCCAAAAGGCATCATCCCAGGTCTGGATTGATGGGATCATATGCCATACTCCACCAAAGTCCAGAACACATCCTGTCTGGATTTAGAAACAGTTGTCTTTACTTCCCCACCAAGTGGGCAAGGAGAATTCCACTTACCCATGGAATTAAGGAGAGGATGTGGAACACTGTCACACCAAGGACCAAAGATGAGACTGCATCACGTTCGGATTTACGTGGAGATAGTGGACCCCATGCATGAACAATATAAGACCTGACAGTGTTCATAAGAGGGTCCAAGCACCCCCCCCCCCCCACTGAATAGCTAAGTGTCAAATCTTGACTGGATTTATGAGTATGCTCCCATGTAGGTTGGTCCTGCTCTTACCAACTTCCAGGGACTCGGGTAGGAGGGTCCCCAACTACACCCTCTTCTCCAAGAGTGGAGAAAACTCAACACTCCGAAGGTAAATCTTCTATCCACCACCCCAGCAACTGGGAAGTGGGTGTGGTAAGGACTCCCGAGCTCCTCTAGTAGAAGATAAGCATTGGGGAGTCCTGAGGAAGAGATCTCCGGAGACAGTGCAACAGGTGAACCATGTTCCCTAATTTTTAAAAGGAAACTGATCTTGACTGATTCAGGTCTAAGATCAACAGGGACTGGCAAAATCTCCTTTAGCTTTACTCATGATAGTCCATGAGTAGCAGTCCATTAGAAATATTGTAATATGATATCACCATCAAGAATTGCATCTAGATGGTCTTATGGAACACCTCATCTCAACAGAGCCCATTGCAACCAGGGTCCGATATATACAGGTTGCTAGTGCAGAATTTAAATACAAGCACACCCGATTGTGCAACACTCGCCATTGAGTGGGATCCAAAAAAAAAATCAATAGGGGACCCTAGAAGAGAAAGGAACAATAACTGTAAGTCAAATAACACATTACCTACTACCCTGTTAAAATATAGTAGAGTTAGCAAATACAGCCACGGGCAGAAGATGAAGTTCCTTCAAAGAGGAAACTGCCAGATCATGAAGGTAATGAGATATGAACGTGTTGGAGAAGTCCACCTATCGGCCCACAAAATATCTGCAGGGAAGAAAGACGGAAATGATTAAGAGAACCAATGGAATGAGGAGTAGAAGGATGGGGGCCTTGAGACACGAGGGGATGAACATGCAGAAGTAGAACAAGTTGAAGTAGAATAGGGCCGAGCAGCCAAACATGATAAAGAAGACTGCAAACGTGCTGTATCAACTCTGGGTTCTAAAGATTCTGGAATTCCAGCAAATAAATAAAGCCGAAGAAAAGGAGCTTCCCGTAAATCTCGAAGGGCAGAAGAAGGTAAGTGAATACCCTCCAAAATTCATCACGACTCAACATGTACCAGCAACAGACCTATCAAGTCAAATCCTGAAGAGTACAAACGTGTCCAGTAAATGGCCCAGTTCATTGTCAAATTGTTGAGGTGATCAGTGATATGCTTCAGACAAAAGTTCAAGGGAAGAGAAGTATCTTTAAAAAGTAGTAAGAGACAAACAAATCTGTGAAAATTGCAACCAGTTAAGAGAGATAACAGGTCCGTACCTGGCACCCCATAGATCCAACAACAGATCCAACCTTTGAGTGTCCAAATATATATTATCCTGACAATGATACGCCAGGGCATGTTGTTCAGATAAATGAGGGGGAGTGGCATAGTGATACCCTCACGTAATTGTGTTGTAAACTTCCCTGCATGCACAGCGATATCAGGAGAAGGAGGAAAAACAAAGTAATCCCATTGCTAATGATCAGAAAACAAATCAGGGTAGACTCAAAAGCAACTGGTTGCATCTCCAAAACTTCACAAACAAGTGTAACTAACTTCAGAAAAAAGGTGCAGAAGGTGGCTGATCAGATGAGTCCTCAGGAGAGGAAGCTCTAGTGAAAGAAGCAAGAAACAGGGAGACTAAATTCTCCCCAGAATATCCCGTTTTAGAATAAAAATTAATATCAACACCTCCTAGAGAGATACCCATGGGCCACATCAAGGACTTGATCTTACCTGGATTCAGGTCACAGACGGCTTCAATGGAGAATGCCACCCCTCACCCAATCACTACTAGATAACAAAGGGGGAACAGATGAAGGCTGGGTAGCCTCCATTCTTGAAACCATTACATGAGAATTCATATCCATTTTTTTTATATATTTCTAGGAAAAAACAAATTCAACGAAATGTATCTCTGGATAACAAAAGAAAGAATTCCCAATTATTAGAAAGCAAAAACTAAGAAAATGTAAATCACAAAACGTTAGTCCGAATGTTCGTACTTTGTCGAGAATAAGCAATTTTTTTGTCTGCATGCAGTGCTTATATACTGTACCTACATAAAGTATTGCAAATTAGATATGGTCGAGAGCAGTCAAGTGAGGTGTATAAAAACTGGAGCAAGCAAACACAATGTTAGATGGCAAAGATGAAGATTGAGAAATAGCTATTAGTGTCAGCGGAGGAATGTATGTTTAGAAATTAGGGATGGCACATGCTACATGGACTGTGCACTGATAAATGTGCTGTGACAGGACTTCATAATTGGATGGAGGACAACTTATGCACTGGCTGGGACTAAAAAACTTCTAGTGTACAACCATAAAAAATAACTAAAATTACATTCAAGTATTGTATATCTAAGTAAATTAATATTAAAAGTTTAAAATATTATTATTTTTGTCTTAAAACTTCTTTCTTGATTGCACACATAATTCACTTCCTATACATTGTATTTGCAGTCTTAAAGAAAGGTATCAAATATAAGCAAGTCAACAGTAATAACAAAATATACTGTATTTTGGAAGTTATTAGTAAAATATGAAAATAAATAACATTAACTCTTTCATAAGTTTGAAATATTTTTGGGCTGAGTTCCGGTCAATTGTATGTATACTATCTTAATTACACTAATGTGTGTTAATGTTTATCTCCTAATTATCCTAAAATTAAATTATACTACACTCACACATAATTATATGTCTTTATAACAATTTAGTATTAATCACAGAACTCATTATTCAAACATAAAGTGAAACTTTTAAATGCCACTGAAGATAAACAAAATTTCTCTGAAAACTTACTTTTTATAAAATACAAGAAATACATTCATTCCGTAGCACAAAAAACAAACTCACACAATCAAAGCCTATTACACATTAACACAAAATCATGTGTATGTTACACAAAAGTTTTGCCTGTAAACAAGAAAATTTATCCATGCTTTTTTTTATGCCCTAGTCTTGGCTGAACTTATTAGCATGTGTTCTTACACTTCACATGATACAAATTTACTGTTAGCTGAAGTTTTAACTATTTCTTATAATTTTCCTCACATGTCTGACAACAACCTATCTAATAACCTGAGTATCAGCTAGGCCAACTGTATTCTGGTCAGAACTGTGAACAGGCTGTTTGAATCAGAAAAATCAGTAAGCCTGTGTACACAGTATTTACTCTGTTATCAGTAATTTTTGTTCATGGTCCACACTTTATAAAACCTTAACTTGACCTCTGACAATAGAGCTCAAGAATACTTGATTTTTATAATTCACATTTGTGCCTAATTGTTCCCTCAAGACCTTTCTACACAATATTATATATAAATATACATACAACTAAAAATAAAAGATAAAATCAAATGCAGTTCCTGGACTGATTTGCAGGTCAGATTTTTTTATTTATTTCTCATTCAGATTTTGTTGTAATTTTCTACCTAAGAATGGTGAATACCATAACTTAATTGATTGTGATTATGTACACTATATGAGATATATCCATTTGTAATGGCAATCAGTATTTCACCAAAAAACCTTTTGAAAGCTTAATTATTTTTTCAGTAATTTCTGGTTGCAAATAATTTTGTGAAAGTTTGTTAGTTGGCATGGGGACTTAGCCAAACTATGTTTATACAGATTAAAACAAATGTATTCTTATTGAAAACACTTAATACCAAGTTGATACATGTTTAGGTACCAAACAAACTACACATATAATATAACAATGTCCTTTATAAGTTTTATATACTGTTTTTTCTTATGCATGTACATTTCTTAAAACAAAAAAAAATCTTCACATATATATTTATTCCTTTGTCATATGCTTTGAAGTTCACATACCCTTATTGAACCAGTTACAAAACAGTTTCACTTAACCATATTGATGAACAAAAAAGCTGGAAGTGTTTATCATACAAAGAAAGTCTAAAACAAAATTTACATACTGATTTCCTGACACAAATGAGCTTTGCCTTTATCCTCCCAACATGTTGATTCAAAATCTATCACAATCAAATAGTCAAAGAATTGCCCTGTAAAAACAAAATGTCTTAAATTACTGAAAGTAAAAACATGATATATACTTTCTATAATATCAAACATATTCAAAATAGAATATCATAAAAATATCATAACATCACAAGAAACCAACAATTCTTCTGAAGGAATACTTTTGTGTTTCGGAAGAAATGAAGTTAAATTGATTCGTTAGATTTCATCTGCCTGGTATCTAGACAATGCAATACTTTAACATGACTTCTCTTTTTTTCCTTTTCAAGGGATCTAACAAGAGCCTATCTAGGATATCCAATTTTCCGTTACTCCTATAACAAAATACAAACTATTCATCCCTAATCTTTAAAATATTTATCCAATCTCCTTTATACTTCTTAACTAATGTAGTAATGCTTTACAGACAACTGAAAGCAAACCATTCTGTAGGTCAAACCCTTTATTAGAAAAGTCTTAACCAGAGTTGTGTCTATGCTTTCCCTATATTACACTTGAGTTCTCTCATCTTACTTCCTACAATTTCTATGAAAATATCATCTGAATTTATGAATTCCAAACCTCTAACAATCTTAAAAACTTTAATGGTACCCTCTTCCCAGGTCCTGCTCGTGAAAACATCAAATGTTTTCATCTTATACAACTACCATCATCTCTCCAAATCTCAAATTGTCCTTGTAGTTCTTCTCTGACATTCTCCAACAAACCAATACCCTTTCTTAAAACTGAAAAAAATATTCCTAAAGAACCAATGACCTTCTTGTACTCAATATTTTATACAACCTAAAATCCTCTTTGCTTTATTACTAGTTAATGAACATTTTTTAAAAGAGTAAATAGTTTCAATAGCTAAGTCCAGATCTTCTTTCTCATAAACATCACACAGTTATTGAGCAAAACTGCATGAATAGTCGTGCTAACCAATATGCACAACTTTACTTTTATCAAGTTTAAAGGCTTCTGCTAGGTGTTAGCCCAGCTCACCAAATAATCCAGATCTCTCTGCAGAACCATAGCATCTTCAGGTCAATATGAACTACTCATTGATTTAATATCATTTGCAAACTTTCATTATCTTGTCGAAAACGAAAAATAGTAGAGGAACTAGTACAGAACCCTGAGGTACAGAAATATATCATTTGTAATATTAATCCACAGTGACTTCACCCCATTAATAACAATCTTCTACCTTCTATCACCCAACCATTTCTCAACTGATGGAACTAGCTTATTTCTTGCCTTAAAAGATACAATTTTCATTTAAAAAGAATAAGAAAGGGCCATCTAACTACTATTCCATTTTCTACAACCAATCTACCATTCTACAAAGAGAAACATCTTTTCCTATATCCAACATTGACCACTAAAATACTCTTCCAATCTCCTCTTATTAAACTCTTTCAATTACAGCTACTACCACCCGAGTTGCCAAACTATTACATAGGTCACTCATTCTATTAGAAAAGTAATACTGTCTTAACTGGAGTCATATCTCTGTATTATATATCTTAACCTCAGGTCTTCTGGTCTCACCTGTCTGCGGGTATTCGAATCATTAAAAAGTTTTGTTGATGACATAGTATAATCTTAGTTACACAAATATTTAAATAAAGTACATTATTTACCAATTGTCAAGAAATTTTAGCTGATCATTATATGATAATCCTCCAAACCTGGAATCACCATGGTAGCTCTTCTCTGAACCTTCTTCAACAAGTTAACACACTTTCTTAAATAAGGTGACTAAAAATAAACATTATTCCAAACATGTTCTAGTTCTAGCCAGCATCTTCCAGAGTAAACCAATGATCTATTTTGACTTGTATTTAATATCTCCATGTATACATACAATCTAAAATCCTGTTTGATTTATTACTATCTAATATGTATTGTATAGGCAGCTTCAAAGACTATGTAATAGATTTGCCCTAATATTCTCAACTTGGGATGAAGCAGAATAAATTTAAACTTGAGCATGCTTAACAAAACTCACCATAATGGTGGTTTCCACATGACACACTGACTGACTTAATCTACTGCATATGCTCAAAGGATAGTGGGAAAAAGTAGTGCAAATAAAGTAGTCCATATATTTGTAACAGCAATAAAGTTAAATTCCTTTATACCCTTTACACACTTTGTTTTTAAGAAATGTTCATCATAAGTCCATAATGAAGTTCAGATCAATAACTGGTAATTTGAAACTTCAACACAACAGAAGAATGTCCAACACTGAAAAAGAACAAATAAGATCAATGCTAAAATAACACAGTTCTATAGTTCATATAGTCCCTAAAGTTCTAATATACCATCTTCAAGTGACTTCATTAACATAAGAGATGAAGTCCCCTTTTTTGTCAGGCAATCAGCTAGTTTCTTTCTAGTGTCAAACCAAATAACTTCTTTGATCTGATGACTTTCAACAAGTTCTTTAATTCCACTGATCTCAACCCTAAAATGTTTTTCATTGACAAACTTGTTTGATTTAATGGCATCTACAATGCAGTCCATAATGTAGACAAGTGGTAATACCTCTGGGTTAAGTTTACCAATACTCAACTCAGCAAATAGATTGGCATTAAATATTGCTGCATCTATAGCCTCAGTCATTGCTAAGGTCTCACCAGCCAAAGCACTATGCACAACATATCTAGAATTTTTCTAGCATTCCAACATATGGGGAAAAACTTCCCTGATTTACCAATGAATGGAATCAAATATCCTTCTGGACTTCCACCATCTGGCAGGTTTCCAAAAGACATGTCAATAAAAAACAGGAATTGACAATTTTACTTCTCCCGGTTGTTGAGATCTAAGTGTATCAGTCTCAGATTTTACTTTTGTTATTACTTTATTCACCTCTATTATATCTCCTACTGTGGCAATTTTGATATGTGATGCTAGGTTACATGCATCAAATGAAATATCTGGTTGACTCTAGTGATCTGCCCATAAAGTTTGTCCCACTTTTGATCAAAGCTGGTCTCTCTCCTTGTCTGTTGAGGGAAAGTCCCACTCAAGTTTTATCTATTTGTACAGGGGTTAAATTGTAAATATATTCATTTTGATGCACATACATATTTCTTCAATATTACTAACTAGCCTGATACCAATACACTCAAATGTACAGCTATCTTCCTTTACAATAGAAAATGTGTATCTTACACTATCAATCACTGTTGATTCAAATTCAAAGGTTCCACTCCATACAAGGTCATCAACATGACTTGCTAAAACATCTATCAGTGTTCCTTGCTTGTCCATCCAAAAGAATACTGCAGGATCAACTTTAGAAATTGTTTCTCCTAGATCTGTCATAACTGTTTTCACTCTATTACACCATTGTAATGAGGCATCATCGACATACATACATTTATGAAAGTGCCACACTTTTCCTGGTACATTAGCTTCTTTTGGTGGATGTATGTAGATATCTTTTCTATACTTCTCCTTACAAAAAGGCAGTTTTGTTATCCACTGGAAACATTTCCAAATTATTCCAAGCAAACAATGCTAGTGTAAGACACGTTGATTCTTTTGAACATGTTGGAAAATCTTTTGGTATTTATCTATTTCCTCAAAAACCTCTCACCACTAGTCTGGCTTTAGTGGTCACATTACCATCTGGATTCTTCAAGGTACAGACCCATCTCATGGATATGCATTTCTGTACTTTATCTGGTATTTCATTGTAAACCTTATTCCGTTTCCAACTATTTAGTTCTCTTAGGTTGGCATCCTCAAACAACACTTATTCAAATATCATGACATTCTCTTCCTCATTTCATGTGCCAGTGTCATCAGGAACTTCTGATACTTGAACATCGCCAATTTGGCCTAAATAAACTGACTATTTCACTCCTTCTAATTGCATGGGTCCAGTTTATTCTAAATTTTACCAGTTTTTTAATTTTTCTGTGGCCTTGCCTGCATGACTAAGGAGCCAAGCAGTCAGTTGCTGACCATTTTGTTGGTGCTTATACTGCAGAATATTTCCAGGACTAATCTTTTGTTCATCCACATTTCTAATGGATGCTGTTTGATTTTCAAGTATGGAGCTATTTAATTTTAACTCTATGTCAGTTTCATCATCTGTTTACTCTTCTTCAATATTATTCGATTCCTTCCTTTGTTCTATTTTGATAACTCCTTGTTCAACTGAAGTTGACTTATCATTTGAACTGTTATCTGTTTGGATTGCTTCCTTCAGTCTACACTGATGGACTCTAACTACAATCCCATCATGTCAAACAAACATCACTGGATTATCCTGCCCAATAACTGTAGCTGGCCCTTTTCACTTTGAACTGTCTGGATATATATAATAAACTTTGTCACACGTGGCACATAAACTCTGTTATCAGACAGGTCTATCTTCTTATGCTCCTTCTCACATTTTCAGAACATTCCATCTTCATGAATGCACATCTAGCTGTAGACAAAGAATCAATATTCTTGGCTACAACTTGGCTTGTTGTTGTGCCTTCTATTGTAGGAGGTTTATCAACAAGTACTGAAGACAGATTAGTATTTCTACTGTAGAATAACTGTTAGGCATTGTATTCATGAATATTTCACAGACTATTATTAGCCACCAGGGCCCAACATAATGTTGTTTCCCAATCATACTCTTTTTCTGCTTTAATTTTCCTTATATATTTCTGTGAGTGTCTGATTATGAAGCTCGAACAAACCAATGGTCTAAGGACTTTATGTATCTGTGGTTTTGAATTTGATGTTGAAGTTTTCACACATACTCCTGGCCTCTTCTTTATTAAACTTACCTCCATTATCACTATATAGTCTTTTAGGAGCACCATGAATACCAATCTAATGTTGTATAAATTTCTGTACAAAAATGAATGATAGTTTACTTGTGATTATTGCACCAATATAAAATCTTGTAAACTCATCAATTATGCAGATACCATAACCTCCTTTCCAATTCATGCAAGTCTACTGCTACAGTTTCATTAAAGTCTTTAGCTAAAGGAAACTGCTGGTTTAGGTTGCTTCTTATATTTGTAACACACCTCACATCATTTACAATATGTGGAAGGTTTCAAAAACCTAACATTGTGTCAGCATACTCTAGTAGTTTTCTTAGAAGTCCACTGATGCATGTCCAAACAGATAATGAAGTTTCATCAATATATTATTCTGATCAGCTGCACTTGTGATGTCAATGATAACCAAAATTTCTGCTTCCTGTACTTTTGTTTCATTACCATTAAACTTGTTGCCACTAGCAACCAATATTTCAGCTTGTTGCCTATTTGTATCTTCACATTTGTTCTCTGTATCAAATGACTGAATATTTATGCAAAATGTCCATTTGATGTGAATTCCAATTTCACAGGGTTGCTGATCAAAACAGCCTTATCATTGCTCTCTTAAGAGATGTTTTACTAAGTAATAAAGGTATGTCTGCATTCACTACTTCTGTGTTGACCTTACATATTGTTACTACTATTTTGGCAGGTAAAGTGGAATTTTTATGACACATCTTTTGCACTATCTCCAAACTTGAAAGATTTGTTACTGACTGTGTTAACAACAGTAGCTCTCTGTTTGCTTTTTAATCCATCAACTTAATATTTTAGCCACATTCTGTTCTTGTACATGCAGTATCAATTATAGGACAGCCAAGTGACTCTGTCATAAGTATTTAATTTTGTGATGTCTCTTCTTTCACAAATAAAGTTGAATTACAAAATTTACTTCTATTGTCACCTTCAGCTACACAGACAGCCTGTTCAGTTTTGAGTGGACAATCCTTGGCCCAATGAAACACTAATTGACAGATCACAAACTATGTTCTTCTACCATACTAATCTAATAGGTTGGTTCCCTTAGGTGTACTGTTAATTCTCCTGTTTAATAGAGGTTGATGGCTTTGCTAAAACTAATATTTTGCGTTAGAATCAGGGGTGAACTTCTGCAGTACATAAACTGCTTCTTGTTTTATCATAATACTTTCTTTCTTACCATCAAAGCAGTTTCACTTGTCATGTGACCATAAAAAAAATTCTCTTCAATGTGGACTTCACTGATGGATATTTTAAGCCTAATGTTGCTGTCAGCACTAGTTTCCTGTTCCATTGTGTCAAATTAGCACTGTCAAAAAGTTTGAATGACAAAATAGCATCCAGAAGTTTCATTTTATATTTTTTGCACATTGTGTATAGACATTCATATTCAAAAATAAATCATAACATCGACATGTCTTCAGGTTTACTATATGAAATGAATTTTAAGTATGCCTCATAGGCTAAATCTATGGCTTCTTTCATAACCAGCGAATCAAGAGCCTTCATCAAATTTAACATTTTCTTAAACTGAAAATGTATTTCTGATAGATACTTACCACCTGTTACAAAAAGCTTTCTTGACTTATACTGTCCTCTATTGGCACAAATTTTTTAATACCACTAGCCTTGATACTCCCACTTACCTGTGCATACTAACATGCAGCAACCCTCCACAAATAGGAGTGCAACACTATCGCTATTGTAACTAGCACCATTTCTAGTCTTGTAGCTGTTTCCACTCGATTGGCAGTCTTATTGAATAGATGTGTTTTCGCTTGTGGTTTGATTCAGTTATCCACAAGTTTTTTACTTTCTTAATTTTTCTACTTCAGTTACATTATTATTTACTGTTTTCATTCTCTGCTGTGGAGAGTTAGGATTTCAGTCTCATAAGTTATGCACTTGCAGTTTCAGGTGGTCATGACTACAACAGTTGTTACTGCTGCAGCAGAATTACTGACCATGTCCAACAGGTCAGAACTATTATTCTCTGCCCATGAAGTGACAGCTCTGGTACGACAGGATTGACCAATTTCATGCAACAATCAGAACAAACTGATGGTTATCCTAACAAACCAGCTCAGGGTTTTAGTGATCAGGAATTTTTGGATTTGAATAGCCTTTTCCTCCTCCTGAATATGCCTCTCAATTGCATGCCACTTTGGGGGATTTACCCAGACCTCTTCCCCTTTTCTGGAATTTATTATTCAGGTATGTTATATTCTGTCCTTATCTCCCATTTCCTATGGTTCCACCCCTGCCCTTCTCGGGGATAAGCCTTTGGGTTATTATTTTGTTTCCTCCTTCCCTGAATATTGAAATTTATGCAAGTCATTTTGGGGAGCATTTGCTTTCAGGGGATCATTATGCCTCAACCCCCACATACTGAGGATGGTCATACTTTTGATTATCATTATTCCAACTTCCCTTATTTGGACTAGCAGCATTTGATGTCCCTTCACCCTTAGGGCAATAAAGGGCAGTATAACTCAAGAACGCTTTTTGCGAGAAGAGGTAAGATATTGCATCATGAACATCCATTAAAACTTCCAAATACAAATCACTTACATCAATTTCAAGTGCCTTTGCTTTTGCCTGGCCAGTTAGAAATAAAGTAACTGCCAAAGTCTGGTTCTTTTTGTTGAGGTTCATCATCAGCCTCCATATTTCAACTTTGTTTTTCTAGGTCTTATAGAATGTATCTGGTCATAAAGCTAGTACATTTTTGTAATTGTTACTCAGAGCATTAAATAAGATTTCAGGTCAATGAGTATTTAAAACAATCCAACTTTTTTCTCCTTAAGGTACAAATTCTTCTTACATATTATAAAGCCAAAGGCTGAGGCTCTTCATAATATGTAAATATTTGTACCTTAAGGAGTAAAAAAGGTGCATGTACAAATCATTACCTTGACACTGCTTCGCCACACAGAGGTAGTCTTCTGTCTAAAGGTAGAAAAAAGCCATTTTTTCTTCAAGAATTCCTCTGCCGTCCTATATCACAAAACTGGTGTGTGTAATTTGACTAGCCTGCTCAAAATATTATATGAATAGCTTAAGTCTTTACATCACGGTTGAATGAATGTGAATAACTGAGTTTATAACTGACTAGTGTCTTTGCACTTCTTGTGTCTATGTCTCTTAGAGCTCTGCCTCTGCTAAAAAATATATCCTGAACTGTGACAAGATTTAAAAGATTCCAGCACTTCCTGTGCATGATTACCAAGAACTTTAACTATTTAACTTCAAAAACTTTAACTATTTAACTTCAAAAACTTTCACATATTTACATATTAAACTAATACATTGTACTTGTTCAACAACTTCAATGGGAGCTGAAACACTTCTTAGCCCTAGGTGTATATTGTTGACAAAGCCGCCCTTTCTTCTTTTCTGTTTTGTAACCATAGCCTGACTGCTCTAACTGGATCATAATTTGATAACTGAATATTACTCATTTGAATATTCAAAAGACTGCCTAGAGTTTCTGCTTTCAATGAACATCTGTATTTGTTTTTTATTCTATTTTGGGCACTGAAACTCCTTTCACACTCAACACTTGTAACAGCTATACATAGAGTTATTGTACACAGCTTTGCAAACTCAGGCGTCACTTCTTTATGCAATTGTAGAGCCCTCTGGCACAGATTCTGAGTAGATAAATGTTTGTATGAGCCTGAAATCATACCTTTTAGCATAGGTCACTCTTGCTTGAGCTTTTCTTTGTCTAAGAGTTTGCTGACTTGTTTTTGTTCTCTCTTTTCATCCCCCCCCCCTCCTGGAGACTGCCATGAACAACATTTACTGTTTGGTCAGTTCCATATAACAGTGCAAGAGCCTCAAGAGCTTCTTCACTTTTACCAGTACCTGGTGAATTAACCACCACTGGTTACAGCAAGAGGCTAAAGTTTTTGAATCTGTGTTTTATATTCTTTTTCAGACTTGATATGTACCTGTTTTTCAGGTGTGACAATTCATTTTCAGTATTTTCAGAATATTTCTTATGTTTTTCTCCATTCATAAAAGCACTAGTTTTTCCTCCTCCTTCTCTAAGTTCTGTTCACTCTCTCATGCTCCTTACAGAATTTCCATCTCCTGATTATAGAAAATCTAACTTAGCTATTGTTGCTTCCATCAATGGCTGAATTTCACTAAATACCACATTTTGTTTTTATAACTGCTCACTAAGTATTGCAAGAACATCATGAATATCTAGTATAGATGACACTAGCATCAACTGTCTAATATTCTGAAAAGTAGTTGTGCAAACCATAGGTGGTAACATTTTTCTCTTCTACAAAGTTTAAAAGGGTAACCAGCTTCAACAGAATTTATAATCCCAAGCCATTTTATGTTATATGGCTTTTTTATTGTAAGTTCAGGCTCACCTAACAGTTTTTGAATACTGTTGAGTTTTGAAGTACGGTTACTTGCCCCATGAAATAATGCAAAGAGTTAAAATTATCTCTAAATGTCTTGAGAGTGTCCAATTTTTTAATTGAATCTGTCACAGCTAAGCTTAGGCAATGGGTAATACAATGGGTTTGTACTGCAAAGGGGGAGTTTTAAAGAAATATAACAAATTTGCAGAATATGACATTCCCTTTATAAGTCTCTACTAAATGTGATACTGTGATACTTTTCTAAATGTTCTTGTTGAATTTATTCAACTATAGGTTCTAGTACTTTACCAATCACTAAGGTACACATAAAACACTATCCCTCACCTGAAAAGTGGTGTGATGTTGATTGATATCTTCTGACACCTTACCACTTTTAATTGACATGAAAATGGACTAGTTGTCCATAAACCTGCTTTTTTGTTTTCTTTATTATCTTGTTGTTATACTGTAGGTGAAGTTGACTTTTTTAATTAGAGTTGTGTGACCGTAAATGAAAACTAAGTTGTTCAGTTATTATGATTACTTGAATTTAATTTTCTGATAATATTATGCATATATCTACCAAATAGAATAAAACTTGCCTTTTTCCTTTTCAGATCTTGAATGTTGAGTATCCATTTCTTGCTTTTTCTTACCATTATGTTGTCTCAGAAGACCAAGTTCTCTAAAATACATAGTATATGTTTGTATATTTAATACATAAACAGACAACATATAGCTTTTGTATGAAAACAGATTTTTCTAAAACAGTGGTGTGCAAACACTGGTATAGCAAAAATGGTCGGGACTCCCCATGAAGTCCACTGAATTTAAGGCCAGCCTGGGCAGCTCAGGTTTCTACCATAAGATATTTCCTACTGTTTTAATTAGACTTATCTGCCCACTCATTGCCTCAACAACAGCTCTGCTCAAAGGATTTGTTTAGTATTTTCTGCAGGAAAAGTGGCAACAGGACTATTAAACTCAGCAGTCACTACAGGCTCTGGGTAGAGTCATCCAACAAAATTAGTACAGGTTTGTGTAAGCTCCAGAGCATGAATTATGAAGTATCCCTGCCATCCCTGTTGTGTTTTCAAAATTCTGTAGGCCTTTAACGAGTGCTGAATGTACCTGGACAGATTAAAAGAAATTGGGGGCCCCCCTGTACTGTGTGGGTTGCAGAACATTTGCTATGCCACTGTGTGCAAACTATTTTATAGAACTATCTCCTCTCACATAATCAGCTATTCTCCCTTCAATAGATCTAGACCTTGAACTATGCGACAGCAAGACGTTCTTGAATACTGATGTGGAAGGAACATTTGTCGTCCATCTATACACCCTGGAATTCCTGACTGTTGATATATGCACTACATCCCTGAAGTGAAGAATCTGTGAAGAGACGAATATTGAGATGAGGGGTGATAATGGATCACCGATGGTAGTGTTGCTCCGATCCAACCACCACTCAAGAACTAAGATGTTGCTCATGATTAGGGAGATCAGATGATCCAGTGGATTGCAGTTCATGATCCATTAGTCACACAGTAACCAATGAAGGGACCACATGTATACTCGTCCAAAAGGAATCAGAGATTTGAGGGATGCCCACATCCCCAAAATAGAGAGAGAACCATCAACGCAGTAGGAGAAGATGTGAGTAAGAGCCTGTCTGCCTTTTTACCTGCCTGAAGCCAGGTAGGAGTCAGCTGTACCTGGCTTATAAACCTGTTTAAAAAGACACCCAGAAGGATTACTTAGCCCTGATAAGAAAACCAGCCTTGGTGGCTTCTGAAAGTAGAATCTGAGTGTGTTGTTTCGCCAACTAACGAGATGATGCCAGAAGTAGCCAGTCATCCATATAATGGTATGTGCACAGGTGCAAAGCATGATGGTGACAATAAAAAGCTTATACAACTCTGCAGAAGACATAAGGTGCAAAAGCTAATCCAAAGGGCAGAGTCTTGAACTGCAGAACTTGACCCTTGTGTATGAAATAGAAACAGCAGCAGGATGATTTCACTATGGAAATGTGGAGATATGCATCAGCAACATCAAACTTGGTCATCCACAGACCTGGTGAAAAATTCCAACATAGATTGAGAAAGGACGTCATTGTGAACCTGGGAGGATCTAAGAAATGGTTGAGATGAGATAGATCAACAATCAGTCACCAATCTTCTGTCTTCTTGGGCACAACAAATAAACAGGAATAAAATCCTGGAAGAAAGGGATTGATCCTCCATACCACCTCCTTGACCAATAACTCTCTGATTGTCTTGGAACAAAGATCCACACTCAATGGATCTTTTGGAGGTGGAAATACCACAGGTTGGGAGGATAATGGAGAAGAAGAAGTAAACTGAATAACCAACCCTGATGCCAGAACCTGAAGATCACCCATGTATTTGTGGTGAAGGAATTCCAGGTGTTTAGAAAAAATGTTATAACCACACTCTCACATAGGGTAGTCACCAACATCATTGGAGATGGTCTGCCTGAGTGGTGTCGCCAAGAAGATAAGAATTGAATCTATTCTGAGCACCAATAGATCGAGAAGCAGAAGTCAGAAGCCATGACGAGCAGTCGTGCCTTGACTTCCAGCAGAAGTTACAGAAAGTCTAGAGGCTAATGATGACAAGAAAGAATGCAAATGGGTGACAGCAAATGTGATTTCAATGCCTCTGAGACAACTGCAAATATCAAGGGATGAAGAAAAGAAGCCTCACGTAACTCAAGGAGGGCTACAGCAGATAAACGAACTTCCTTCAACAAGGCATCTCTACCCAATAACTCCCAACAACATACAAGCCAGGAAACCAAAGAGAGAGCAGAAGCCAACAAATGTACCAAGATAGAAGTAAGCTGTTAGGCTTTTGGGGGGAAGCTAAATACCTCAGAACAGCATTGAGGGCCAAATGAATCTGAGAAAATTGTGATCTGTTCAAAATGATCACAGGGTCCAGTCTGGAACCACACATATCCAAAAGAGGATCAAGTCTTTGGGAATCCAAATATACATTTCTCTGGCAGTGGTAAGCCAAAGCATGCTGTTCAGACAAACGTGCGAGACAAGGCATATCAATCCTGTACCATAATTGAGTAGCAAATCTCTCCGCATGAACAGCAATATCAGGTAATTGAGGAAAAACTAAATGTTCACCCTCAGCCCTTTCAGCCATCAAGGAAAATGTAGATTCAAAGGCAACTGGAAAAAGCCACAAAACTTGACAAACCCGACTGACTAACTGAAGAAATGGAGAAGGAGGTGGCTGATCCAAATTGTCCTCGTGAGAACCAGACCTAGTAAAGGAAGGTGCTGGAAAAAGAGTCCAAATTCTCAGACTGTCCCAGATCATTGACTAAAGCAGCCGCAGAACCCCCTGTGAGATGCCCCCAGACCAAATATATGTCTCCATCTCACAATGAATCAGATCACGGACAGCCTCAACTGAGAATGTCCCAACCATGACCATTGAGAGACACTAGATAATAGAGGTGGAATAGAGGAAGGCTGATTAGCTTCCATGCTGAAAACAGTGTTGCAAGTATTCTAAAAATAATTATTAAATATAATATATGACGAAAGCCACTAGGTGACACGAAAATCGCAACCAAGTACATTAATTATCACAGCACTTGTGTAGAGAAACCCATGTCTAAACACTTTGTCAAAAAAAGTGATAAATTTATCTGAATATATGTGTTTATATTCAGTACCAGAATAGAGGGTGCACTGATATAGGTGGAGAGTATATCGCCAAGGGCATTTGAGTTGGATATAAAAGTCTGGAGCAAACGAGAAAAAAAAATCAGACCAATGCTTAGATTGGCAAAGATTGAAAACCTGGTGGTTGAGCAATAGCTATAAGCTATATGGTAAGTATGTTATGGAATGCTGATTAGAGGGAAGACAACTGACTGGCTACAGCCACTACCAATTCTTGGTCAACTTTGTCTTTTTCTTGTAGGGGGAGGGGGGAATATTCTCCTGGTATGAGGAACACTGTACTAATCGATTAATAGCCTCATCAATATATTCATTAGCAAATACTACTAATCACTCAGTTCTATCTTACTCTTCAAACAACTAAGTGAAAGACTGAAGTGGGGCATGGTTATAAGCCTTATATGGATGAGCATCAGAATAAACAATGTCTTCTAATGTCAGACCCATTTCATTCAATTCTGACTGGACATAAAGGTCAAAGGTAGGGATAACAGACTATATATTTAGAAAAAGCACAGTCCACCAATGCATGAAGGCATACTGCCAGGTGTGATTATATGGCAGTAATATGAGCTTTGCAGAATGCTTCATGTTGTAAATGTCAAATGTGAAGTGGAGGTTCAGGCAGTACCCTGTAAATCAGCTACAGTAATTCTCTGGCATTTTGTTGCAAAATTGAAAAGGGACAAGATTTATATTTTTCATTCAAACTTGCAAATCTTATGCCAGGCAACCTTAGAACTTGTGGTGGAAAAGATTCTGAAGAAATTCATGCAAGACTCTTTCAAGCTTTCATGTCTGATTTGCCAGTCATCAGCAGAATTCTTCTTAAATGCAATATGATTAGTAAAAGATGAAATGTGTCAAGGTTTAAGTAATGGTAAGTACAGTTGACTGGATAATATGACTAGTTACTGCCTCCACACAGATGTTAAAAGATGCTACATTGATGTCGGCAAGATCAAGTTCCAAGAGCAATGTGAAGGAAGACCAGTTGCCCTTAGACAGCTGAATCCATGAGACACAAGTCAGTAGGCATTGACTATAACCAAGCTTCTAAAGAATGAATGGAAAATAATTACTGCCTCATTGATTACTGTCATCTTCTTAAAAGAAGAAAACACACATAACCATATCATTTGAGGGACATCAAGGAGACCCTCAGCCTATTGTGACTGTCTCATTCATTTCAACAAACATCAAACTGCTTATATCCAGCCCTGGTTATTTCTAATATTTTCCATAGAATGTTCAGAGTAAGGAATATTACTAACGTACTCTCTTGTAGAAACAGAAGAGAACATTTAAAATATCTGTCTTCAACAAATACTTTGCCATCAGCATCCTTTAATGGCTCAATCCTCATTTTGCTTACCTTTAATAGACTTGCAAAAAATCCTTGCTGTTAATGTTATCAGCAGTCTATTACTCATAAGTCCTTTTGGATTTTCTAATATCTTTTTTTAACCAAATCTCAATATTTTCTCCCTTATGTTTTTGGTAAGCCATTTGATTTCTAATTTTTTTAAATCAAACCATGGTTTTTCTATAGTTCTGTAGGTTTCCCACCCTATTTGTCAATGTAAACCTTTAAAGTTTAAGTCTGAGTATGTGCAATCCAAACAAACTAAATATATTAATTGTTACCGTTAGACTACACACTACCTCAAGACCAATAAAAGGAACATTAAAAAATAAACACTGATTTTAAATCAATATTATACAATTAAATAATAATATTATATTAATCATAGTGTGTTTTCATTCCATTCCATTCCACTTCCATATTTTTTATTTTGCAGTTTTTGAAAATAATCAGATTCAATTTTCAAAATGATCAGTTCATTGTTTTACCAACCAGATTAATTTTAAATCTGTCAGTTAATAAAATTTGAAAAACAAAAAAATACTTACTTTGCTAATTTCTTTGTAGCCATTCTTGTCCAAACACCTTGGCTTTAGTATATTATCACTTATCATAAACTATAGTGATAAACATTTGAAATTTAAAGTTGTAAGAAAGAACAAGCCGAAGGCTAAAGACGTAAATTTAAATTTTAAACTCTTCCCACAGGATGGAGTAGCTTATTGAACTATACTGTTACTAATTCGACCGTAAGCATAACTGAAATGCAATTATGGTTTACTAAAAGTAAAAGTGGAACTTGAAACGTTTATCACACTGCAAAATGGTGTGTTACTATTAACTGAGTGAAGTGTTCATATTATGACTTAATACAATGCATTATTATTAGTATTCCATATATTTGTTAATGAGTGTTAAAATTTGACGTGACTTTACATGCCTATTTTAAGTAAGAAAACTTACAAATTTCTTTCTCTTTAACTAAACATATATGTCAACATATTTTTGAAAACTACGCCACATACTATAAATAGATGCGCGCTCTGAAGTTATATTCATTAATTACATACTTAATAATAGTTACTATTATTGTGACGTGTGCTTTCGTTGGCGGAAACTTTTTAAATCATTTGGTGAAAATACTTTAACGTCCAATCCACGTAATAATCACAGATTAGTTTATTTCCTTCTTTAGTGTTACTACAAGCTTAAATACTTATACGCTGTTGTAAACTGATGTAGGTCTACGTTACAAATCACGTTAACCAACGTAAAACAAATCAACTTGTACAATGTAGCTTAATATGCGCGAAAGCAAACACAGATTAACATACTTCACTAATTTGGACACCGACTCATTCAAATTTATATCTTGAAAAATCTACAGTATTCAGCATTAACTTGTATTTGTAATATAGTTTAAAATTTACTAGAACTAAAACTGACATCAGATCTCAGATCTTTCTAGGCGGATTACCTAACATCATCAATGTCAAGTAGCTTCGTCTAACAAAGAAATAGTTAAATTACAACATTAAAATATAGCTCACAACAATCTTAAAGAAGAAGTAAAATGAACGTTAAAACTTGTGTACTTGTTGAGAACGTTTGCGTCAGTAATCGAAGCGTCGTACCTGTTCTAATAAATATTCTTCCTTACTGTAAAAGTTGTAACCTATCATAAAACAATATTTAATCAGTAAGTAAACTCAATACGAAAGGATTGGTTATAAATACGAGAATCAGCAAGGTGTGAATCAGTGAATCATTAAGTAGTGTTACACCTCCAGTCGTTAGTTAATTTTCCGTAACTTCGTTCCGACGAAACTTAGCGACACAAGTCCTTTCTTAATAAAACTGGTTTATTCTTTCTGAATATAACTTTGCGATACACTTAATTTCAACAGTCGCGCTATAACAAACGTCGCATGTGTTCGACTTCAACAATACTCAATTACTCATTGCCTCGTCGCTTCGTGGCCGGTCTTATATACAAGACTACACTATCTAGT